GTCTTTCAGGACTAGGGTGGCCCAAGTTCTTGTGTGCACGAAGAATCATCTGTTGTTCTTCTTTGGAGAGTCCTTTAAAACGTTCAGATTGCTTTGGATTCTGCATGTCATGTTCCTGGGACGGCGTCAAAATTGCACGGTGGTTGGCATTCTGGTCATATGGTTCAGACATTTCAGTCTGAGTTCCATTGGACTCGGGAACTGCATCTGGATTAGGAGGGACTGCCACAGGGCTGTCTCCTCGGGGAACGTCGGTGCCTGCATGGGAGACTTGCGGCGTCCGAGCAAACACTGTGATATTCAACCTACATGGGTGTGAGGGTCGAATCAGATTTCGTTTAGCCAATGTTTCCCACATTTCCCATTCTTCCTCTGCCCTGATACTTCCGGAACCCCTCTCAGTGAAAATGGCTCTTCTCCAGGGAGCTTCTCCTTTGATCAAAGTTTCTGGTGGGGCAATGGTGCGGCTACTGCCTCTACAACCTCGAACGTGGATTACCTCTTTGTCGGAGATTAAGTTCTGGATTTGGCTGAAAACTTCTGGGTCAGTGATTTCAGCTTTACCTACTCTAGGTACTAGAGAATCCAATCTTTGGAAAATGGCTCTCCATTGCTCTTCACTGTCCACAGGGGAGGTTTTTACCAGGCATCTTCGGCGCTTTCCCCATGGGAGCACACTCACAGGTTTGGTGCGACTCAACGTGAGTCTCGCAGCTGGCTTGGCACGCTTCGGAGGTGGAGCTTCAGGATGCTCTGTGGCAAAAACTGTGGCTTCCCAGTTCCGGTGAGGCATCTCATGGTTCATGGTGAGTTTCCCAAGGCTTCTGGCTAACAAACGTGCGAATTTTCTTGGATAGTGCTCAGTGAAGGTTGAACGATTCATTGTTTGACCTTGAAACTTCGTTTGACCTTCAATTGTTTGGTGAGTATGTTGTCCGTTACATCGTAATCCTGTCAAGGCATGGATCATGGTTTCGGATGTTGAAAGGATTGTTAATGATTTCCGGATTGGCAATTGGTTTACTGGGTCCTTGAGGTCACCTGCAACACATAAATCAACATCCACGGCCATGAGATAGTGCAGAACTTCCTGAAGATATGGCAATCTGAACATCAGGGAGTTTCTGGGTTGCTCCCAATGGAAATGTTGTCCAGTTGACCTTTGTCGGCGAAACAGCACTATGCCGAGGGCGATTTGCTCCAAGTGAATGAGGCGAACTTTCAGGAGTTCATCCCAGGCTTCTAGCGATCTACTTCCGTTCAAACATGAAAATCCTGCCCATGGACCACAAGTTGGACTGAACCAAACATTTTTGGGACGTTTCTGGATCACCTGTTGAAACACATGCTTTCTGCCACTCACGGTTTGGAGATCGCCCTGAGCTCTTCCACAACGCTCGGCTCGATAGCCCAGCTGGCGGGCTTGGTGTGTCAGCTGACTGTCGGGCCCACAAAAGACTTCCAGCAAGGTGATCTTTGGGGAATAGGATGATCTATGGGTGTTTTCTTTCATGCACTCATCAAATTCCTTGGAAATTGTTGAACCAACTGCCAAAGCCTCTTACGTTCTTGGTTACCTTCTGGGGTCAACTCTCCAGAGTAACAACAGTCAGCGCTGATATCACCAGCTTGGCTCAGTTGAGCAACGCTCGGGCATTCATCTACTGATCGGCAGGCTCTGGCATGGTTGCCTGAGCTTCCAAGTGCTGGATCACTCGGGACATCACATTCTCCATCTGGTAGAGGCGCTGCTCCATCGCTAGGACATGAGGGTTGTCCTCCTCGGGGAGGTTCTGACTGGCCACGTTTTCCAGCTCGGGAATCACTTCGAAGTTGTCCGGGTCGAGATCGTAGTCGAACTCGTGATGGTTCTCCTGAGTCACTTGAGGGCGAGCCATGGTCTTGCACTTGGGCATGGCAAGGCTCTTGGGCATGGCTCGGCTCTTGGTCGCTCCCTGGGCTGGGATTCTGATCTTCGGCTGCACATTGGTAACTGGGATGGCCTGCTGTGTCAGTTCGGCTCTCTCCACCCTTGTCTCGATGTAGTGCAAGAAGATCTGATGTTCGTATTTCTGGCTGTTCTCGTAATGCTGGGTAAACCACGTTACCCAAGGTTGCTCTCGATCCCATACCTCCTTGAAGGGCTTGCCCAGTTGCTGGCGACCGAACGCGATCGTCATGCGATCCATCTCTTCTAGGGACAAACTGGTGAAGTCTGGCTTGGTCAGCTGGCTCTTGTCCTGCATCTGCTGAAGGCGTTTCGACAACGACATGCTGATGTCCTGAAAAATCACGGCGATTGCTGTGGGAGTCACACTTGGACCTGAAAGGCTGTTCAACGGTTTCGGTGGTGGTTTTTCCGATTCCTGGAGTGAAGTCAATGCAGGCTGGTGGAGAACTTGGGCTCTGATGATTATTGGGACCGTTAAGGTTATTGTGAACATTTGGGTTATTCATGGTTATGTAAGTTTTGTTGGTTAAATCACAACTGGACTGTGAGACTGGTGTATTGGCATGGCACTGCATCAACGGTTTCTTCGGCAATTCATCGATCGTCGAATGGGTCTCCGCATCTTGGGAACTTGCTGCAAGCTGGCTCGGTTGGCCAACCAAATCATTGAGATCAACCAGGAAAAGTCCCTTGCTCGTGAGCGTCAGTGGGATGATTCTTCCGGACTTTTTGGCAACAATGACTTGGGCTTTGGTGTCAATAACCGCTTCCAAGGCTCTGAGCAAGGTGTTCGATAGCAAAAAGGGAGTGGACCCAGGCACGATTGCGATCTTCAACTGCAAACCCTCTATTGGAACTATCATGGCATGTTCACTCTTCAACGTACCATGGTTACCAAAACGGAAGGTAATGTTACAAGCACATCTCTTAACAACCTTGCGGATCTCTGGATGCAAACTGTTGAGGAAATCAGTAACCTGATTGCTACCTATGACAGTTTTAGTTGCTCCTAGGTCCAACACTCCAAAACTACCATGGGTTGCGAAGCAGGTCATGGCTTCACGGCACTCGCTCATGGACGGGTTCTGGGCGGCTTTGATGGCTTGAACTCGATCATGCAGTCTGGTTCGGATCTGGGTGATGTCATCAATCCTGGCCGGCTGTGGTTCATCAGCAACCGTCTGATACCAATTACCGAGGGATTTGGCTAGTCTAGCTTTGGGATTTATGCTACTTCCTTGACTGAAGGCATGATGCACAAAACCAAATGCTTCATGAGGCTGAGTCACATCAATTGGAACTTCTTCTACCTGTGGTAAATGCAGGAATTCCATGCTCAGGGCAGTTTCTTCGGCGGCTGGTGAGGTGACTTGCACAAATGACGTCGGCACCTGAGAAGGTCTGGCGGCTCCACTGTTGGAATCACTTCGAAGAGGACACTCAGCTTTCCAGTGACCTACCTTATTGCACAGGCGACATCGGGATTCCATGATCCGCTGTTGCAACGTCTTCCTCGAAGAGCCTTGGCCTTTCGAGAATTTTCCCTTCACAAACTTGCCACTGCCTTTGGATTTCCCCTTTTGGGCCACAGGCCAGAATCCACGAGACTTCATTTTGTCGCTCAGTCGACGACGGGCATCGGTATAGGCTGTGTAAGCAGCGGCTAACTCCTCATCTGACTGGACAATGTCTACTGCTGCAGACTCGAAGTCACTAATCAGGATGGCGTCTTCATCGCCTTCCTGAACTAGGATGTCCATTGCCTCCTCTTCGGGAATCTCTTCTGACATATCGGTTGACCCGAGTGTGTCTTCGCTTTCGATCTGATCTGAGAACATGGTGGCCTGGCCGTCATAGGTCTTGAGCTTGGTGATCTTCTTCCCGGACGTCACTTCCTGGAAAAACCCTGCACCCAGTAACCTGCTGGCTGCCGTCACACGCGTCATGGTCAGTTTGGCTTCGGTACTGGCTTCACACTCCAGCACCACACGTTTTTTGTCCTCTGCACTGAGATTGGAACCCCTCAAAACTATGTAGGATTGCAGTTCCTCCAGTTTGATGTCTCGACTCAACATTTCCTGCCATAGCACATCGGCACGGGCTAAGAAACTGTCATTTGTTTCATCAGACCTCTGCGTGCAGCGAAAAAGGGCTTTCTCTGCGGTCTCATACTTGCGTTCAAGGGGAATCTGACCCCATTGGCCTCCCAGGATCTCTATGATGGCCTGAATTGAGGCCTTGGAGTTGTCTGTCACCTTGTCACTACTCAGTTGCAGCTTCTGAAATGCAGTACCAGAGCATCCCAGGATGAGTCTGGTTGCCAGCTCTGTCCACTTACCATCGGGCCACATGTTCATGAGAAGCTTGACTTTCTTGGTGTATTCTTGGAGATCATCTTTTGACGGGTCAAATGTCGGAACCAGGACTGCAAGCTGATTAGGCACCAACGAAGGAGAAAAAGTCTCTGAGGCAGTACCTTCAGCCATCCCTGGATCAAACAGCAACGGAGCTGAGCTCCGCTACCAGTGTGAATAGGACTTCACTCACACTGGCAACGGGCTCCCCAACCTGCAAAGCTGAGCAGCAGCTTTTCCAACCAACGCACAGCGTCAAAACAGGATTGCCCTAAATGGCAAGGTTTTATGGATATGCAAGGGTCGGCCACGACCAGAGTTGTATGGAGCCCCAGGCTCTCTGCAAGGACGGCCTCGTCCAGATCTAGCAAATGGCTCAACGCACGCTATCCCTCCCTGTACCTCAACCCTATGGGCTCGCCTGAGCCAGCGTGTGCTGTGAGAGGTGAATTGGTGAAAACCTGAAGGCTGGAAGGGACAGCATGTCTTCCTACGATCTTTGGTGGATGCAACGATGATGGATTTACAATATATATATATATATATGTTGATACATTGATACTATATGACACCATAATATTTAAACATATTTAATCTGTGTCATCGATCTGATCTGCTTCATGCCATGGTCAAAGAAACACGACGATTCAGCCATGGATCCTCGGCACAGCTTCATGACTATCCCGCCTGCAGACTTAAAGCTTGGCTGCTGGCTCCAAGCCCTGGTAGGTCTTCATGGTGAGGTTGTCCACGGGGAGTGGCACGATGTGGTCAGCCAGGTTGGTGGTGATCACGTGCTTCTCAGTGATGGATGGGATGTTTGGTGTGCCAGCCAAGCGCATGACCATCTGCAACTCGTCCTGCAGCATGTGGACCATGCGCACGATGCCGTTCTGGCCGTACGAGGCCAGGGAGTACAAGACAGGTCGGCCCACACCGCAGGCCTGCGCACCCAAAGCAACTGCCTTGAAGATGTCGCCACCACGACGGACACCTCCATCAATGAAAACGGCAAAGTTCTCCTTGGTAGCGCCTGCCTCCTTCAAGGCTTCCATGACCTCAGGCAGCACCTCAATGCCAGGACGGCAGGTGTCGAGCTGACGTCCACCGTGGTTGGACAGGACGCAGCCAGCCAAACCAGCCTTGAAGGCCTCAACGGCATCCTCTCCACACTGCACACCCTTCAGGAGCACCTTCATGGAGGTAATCTTCTTGAGCCATGGCACGTCCTCCCAGTTGAGGCCAGGGTCAATGTAGCTGCTGATGGCACGAGTGGCTCCCTGGGAACGGTCCACTGCGCCTTCATCCTCATCATCACCCTGCACATCGGAGCCCTGCTGAGTGAACTTGTTGCGCATGTCCTTCTCACGACGTCCCAGCTGAGGAGCATCCACGGTCACGAACAATGCCTGGACGCCTGCCTTCTCAAGCTTGGAGACGTACTCCTCCGTTCGGGACCTCTCAGGATTCACGTAGAGCTGAGAGAACACCACCTGGTCAGGAGCCCGAGCTTCCAACATCTCGTCCAAGGTGTAGGAGCTCAAAGTTGGCAGCATGTAGGGCACCCCCGCCTTCTTGGCGGCCTGGCACGTGACAATCAACACAGCTATATCCCATCGGTTTGTGGTGGACATACTGCTAGGTGCGTGCGAATCATATTGTACAAGCATTTTTGGTTCAATCGTCCTTGCATGTGCTCCACCCCACAGTCCTTTTTTCATAGGGACCAAACCACTTTCCGTCTTCCGGAAAATCATCTATAAGAACGAAGTTTCTGCCAGGAACTGGCGCGAACCATCAAATGCCAAGGCCAAGACTATTAGCCAAGATTCAAACCACTATTCACCTACAGGGTATTACAGGGTTATAGTTTCACGAAATGATGGATGCTTCAAATTCTCCAGGTCCCACATGGTCGATCAATTAGACAGATCAATTCATTAGTCCCAAGAGGCACATGAACAAATTCATCATCCCAAAAATGAAGAGGCTAGCCTTGCTCATTGGTCGGAGCCATCTCCAAATATGGAAGGCTCACTAGTTAGTTGTATATAATATATATATGTACATATAAATCATATATATATATATATTATATTACTCACATATCATACATATTATATATGTACACAATTATACACATACATGTGTGAGTAGACATTTCCAAACAATGGCTTCCCCATCACCAGCCTTCACAATGGCCAGTTCTCCCTCCTGACTGACGCCCAGTCCAAAGCCCTTTAGAAAGGGGATGTAACCATCAAGAAATGCCAACAATCTGGTATATTTGATCCGAATACAATGGAATATATATATAATATATATAATAATTATATAATACGTATGCGGATGTCAATTCATCTATCTGGGTTTGTCCGGGTATATCACAACAATTTCCACTTCAAGGGAAAAACACATGATAAGTTGCTGGATTTGAGGGTACTTACCTTCTTGAGCGAACACGTTAGCTGTTGTTTGCCACTGTTTCCGCCCTGCAAGACGGATCTGAAACCAACTTTTGGGAGATGCTGGGCAAGAGCAACATGTTCAACCCCGAGCTCATGGTAACCAACTAATTGACATTCCTACTTGATGGTTCACCCCAGTTAGTAATCTCTGCACCCTAATACTAAAACACCCCCCAAACGGTAAACACGTTGATCTATTTGTATTATTAAGGGGCATTTAGTATTAGGGTGCCCCTAATATTCCAATGCAAATCCTATTGATAAAAATAAAAAAAACACGAGTTCAAATTTGATTAAATCGCTTACTAAAATCTATATATAATCCAAAAACTGGACTTTGAAGCTTTCCCTTAATATTCCAATGAAAACATTAATGATCAGAATAAAAATAAAACTTATGAGATGGGACCCTAATAGAAAACCTCCAGGTACCATTCTATCTTTATTCATTAGGGGGTACAAACCATTATTTCACCATCCTGTTCTCCTATTGACTTTCAATTGCCACAATTAAGAACGCAATTGTAACCCACCAAACAAAACGAAATGGCCAATCCATTCCTATTTTTATTAATTGGAGGAGTTTTAGTAATAGGAAGAAGAGATTAAGTAGGTTATAACATGTTT